CTCACTCGACTAGTATGTTTATGTATTGATCTGAGTATAAATGAGAAATACACTGTCCCTCTGTGTGATGATGGTGCATGATAAGAGGAGAAAGTGATCAGATGACAACTTCATACTCATACACAATAGAAATGCGGAGAGGAACAATGTCAAATGGAATGCAGTAGAACGGACACTTGAATTGCACTCACACGCACTCACACACTATCTGGTCATTCATTTTGTGACAAAATAAATAAAAGTTGTCAGAGTAACCCGCATTTCATTGTCCAACTAACATTGGTCCACTTGAATTTGTAGTTATTACTCAGACAACACGGTAACATGATAATTGGAAATGAGAGAAGATTATTCACTGTGTTTCTACGTTCATTGCTTCATCTAACCAACAATCAACTTATTTTCAAACTACATCAATAAACACTGATAATTTCTCATCATTCCACATTAAGTCAACTACATGAATGATGGAAATTATTGAACTCTGTGTGTGGATAGAAATGAAAAGTGGTGTTTGTCGAAATTACTCTCTACTGAAAATCGGTTTTCGTCTATTATTACTATGACTATTATCGTTGCCTAAATGCCATATTATCTGAATTAACTGTTACAAGTACAAATATTTGCTACACCTTCATATCAAAATGTTGTACAATTTAATTCCCAGTTTCTCGTCTATTCGCTATGACTTAAACACGATACTGTTGTTAGTTGCACGTCTTGTCTCTCGCACACCGCAATGAAAGAGAAAATGGGATTTCACTACTGATAATCGTGTACCAGTTTCATTTCTCTTTCCATCTGTTGTCTGTTATCTTCACTTCCAATGACGTTGTGCTTTGGTTAACCAAAAACACCATTGCAGTACAAATCAACATCCCCATTCATCAGGAATTTTTGTGAAAGATGAACTGTGTGTCTAGGATTGTGTGTGTTTGCAAACGAGGAGGTCTATTGATGTATTTGTATGTTTTAATAAGTGGCTTCAGAATGGATGTCAGCGGTTTGTGTCTCCAGACTCAAATATGTGTGTGCGTGTACGTGTGTTTATTCATTCCACCTCATTGTGTGATTGCAGCACGTTAATTCACTTCTCTTATATGTGTGTATCTGCCTGATTGTTTCAACATAAATAACAATCTGATCACATGATCACTTGGAATTGCAAGTTTGCGAGTCAAGTGATCGTGGCCTTTTGTCAATCAATAAAAATCTTGTTAAAAAATAATTAGTGAAAAGAATAAACTAACTAACAGCCAGTTGATGGTAAATTTTGAATAGTATAATAGTTACAGATCTGGTTTTACGTTTCTGATTTCACCATTCTTTTTTCACACAAATCTCATTTGGATGTAAGGGTGTGTGTGTAAAGAGGTAGAAGGCTTATAAATCGGTCAATTGATTCAAATGTATACTGTTCAATATTCCTTTGTTTGTGTGTGAGTTGGTCGGTGTGGTTGATTGTGACACAATGAAGTGGAGAACTCAAATGAACACTTTCATACGGTGATTATTCTCCTGTCTACATGACGAGTGGATGATTATGAAACAGGTAATGCAAAGAAATTTATCATAAAACTCAGTTGCTAAGTGAATTATTATCATCATGCAAATAGGTCAATAACTGTTTTATTAAGTTTCCATTGTGACTTCTCATCCCGTTATTCTTTTCTCTTATCAACACTCGTTGTTTGTTAGTGGAATTCAATTATCCCAATTTCTTGTCTCCTCTTCACAATCTTGTGTCAACTGATGGTTTCCAAGTCCACTCATTGATCAATAACCAACTAACAACCATTTAACAACAACTTTTTCTATTGTTACACAACAATTGTGTGTGTGTTCTTCTATTTGCACATAAACGCACACACACACACTTTACAAGTACAAATTCTCCCCTCATTGTTATTTGTCATTATTGTTCGGACTTTTCAGTGATCAGGCTTGTTCACAGTCAACATTTAACTGGATTGTTATCGGATCATGAAAACTTGTGCCATTCAACAAAGTGATTGAAGAGAATGTTGAAAACTTGAAATCACACTGAATATCAATCACACACATACACACACACACGTCATCATACAACTTTGTTGATGATGTATGTGAATTGAACAATGAAGTTGTTGTGAACAGTTCAATATCAATTAACCAATGTCTAGATATGTTGTACAATTCGAATAAGTTCAATATTACTAGTTAGAATGGGTAACTAGATTGGGGCAATTCACTCATTGAAGTAGTGACAAACCGAAAGATAGTCAGCCAAATATCTACATTTATGAATTACAAATTACAGTATCGTAAAGCACCATAGTGTCGGTATATCACGTGTATTATCAAATGGTGTGTTCATTGATCAAGTAGAAAGTCATGCTCGTGACGTCGTTTTCATTGAGGATTCCTGCTGATGAATAATTCATGTCATTGGGGCTGTTCCGAATCATTCACTCGATTCAATGATGCTCGCTGATGAAGGATGATGAAAGTTGACAATTTCTCAAGGAAAATCACTTTGAATGAAGCCGCAATCCACAATGGTAATCGTCTTCTCTCACTGATTTCAATCATTAACTACACAATCAATTAGAGCGTATACACACCGAATACTACTCTTCAGATTTGTCAGGCATATCAGACTTTCATTCAAATGTAAACGTCAATTCTGATTTTCAATTGTGTAGGTCTGCTTGCTTACTCACCGATCCAAGTGAAATGAATTCTCCACTTCGCAATCGACAGTGCGAATTTTAAATTCAATCGACTATTCTGACCAAATGAATCATTTAAAAAATGAAATTTCATTTGTAAAACAATTAACCAATCATTACTTGCCTTCCTAATCCGTCACAACAACACATTGCCCAACAACAGTTGCGGTGTGTGCTACTTATACGAACGATATAAGTAGTATAAGAAGGGACGTGAAAGAAGTCTCACGGTCAGAAGAGAAAAACGTGTGGTGTGATAATTTACTGCGTTCTCTTAAGCTCGGTAATTAACTCGTCCAGACAATCGTTACTAAATAGTGTCTGACGATTTATATACCAGAAGATAAATTCGTAGTGATGAATACATTTATTCGAGACACACCACAAAGCGAAGCGGAGAAGCTGCGTTGGTCGTTACTGCGTGTTGTTAAGCTTGGAAGTCACGACCCATAGATGGTGCGCAAATAGAGTGTTTAATGTAATGTTTTCGTTTATAATTGAATTAGAGTGTGAATCTACATAATACAATCTTCCTCGCCTGCCTCAGTCTTCTCATAGTGAAAAGATTCGTTTTAAATTGAATGCATATTCACATAAATGAATCACTGTCCGTATATTCTCTTCATCGTGATGTTTATCTTCGGTTTTAAAAACAACAATTCTAATTTTTATTCTAAGAAATTCAGATATTTTATACGTTCCTCTATTCTCTATGATAGTGCGTGTGGGGGTGTGTAATTGTGTACGTGCGAAAATTCAGCTATTCTGTCACATGAATAATACGAACTGCAGACTGACATTAGTTTGTTTAACTGTGCAGATGAATATCAATTTGATCACTCAGTCAGTCAGCCACATGCAACGTCGAACTTTGTACATAAGTACATCAGTTCATGTTGCCATACCACATCAGCACAGAGAAGTAATCGTCAATTCAAATCCAATAGTAGAAGATACTATTCAAGAAGTATGATTCAGTGAGAAAAGTTTAGAGAGTCGAAACTAGAGGTGTTGAAGAATTCAGAAGGTTCGGATTTGAGAGAACACAAAGAGTAAATGCACCTGCGCTATTGCAAACAATTTTGAGCCATGTCACTCAGGGTATCTAACCATCGATTATTATAGTCTCGCGGAACCCAACTAGTCATCAATGTCGTAAACCTCTCATCGATTTATCGAATACCACATACACACGAGTGCAAACACAAAGTTTTATGAATAGATTTAATCAGTCTCTCACGAAAAAATTAAAACCATATCCCACATCAACCTCACACTCACCTTCAACAAAACCATGTAGAAATGCCGATACAGCGCACACAACACGACGTAATGAACGAGAAAGAAATCGTGTGAAATTATTAAACATGGGATTCGATCGTCTACGAGCTGTGGTCCCATGTCGTTCAGGTGAACAATTGAGTAAAATTTCAACTTTGAAAAAGGCGATCTGGTATATTGAACATTTAGATAAAGTATTACATGGGCAAGAGAATCCATGTTCAAATTCCATTCCCCAATCACCAACCTCGTCTATCATTCAATCAATCAGTCACGTGAATCAAATGAAAACATGTACCAGTCATAAGCGAAAACAACACAATGTCATCACCAAATCAGCTGAATTATTTGAGAACAATCAGAATGAAGCAAGATCAGGGACCTCCTGGTCATCTTTCGAGCAAGTTATGTCACCACACTGGAACATTTCTATGCTCGAAAGAGGATCAGTGAATCAGTTGTAGCCGGCATCGATATTTCCAACTTATTGGGATACCAATATCAATACTTTAAGTAATAACGATCAGAAGGCTGATGATCATGATTTGAAGGAACACACATCGGCATCATTTGTGCATTCAACTCCACAGAACAGACGAGTTGACAAGAAGAACTTCTGTCCCAATTCAAATTCGCCATCATCATCATCATCATCAGTATTCTTATTATCGTGCGGAGTGTCGAATGATTCCGGTTATCACAGTTATCAATCACAATATGAATCATTATTACTGTCGTCTGCACCACCAACTCATTCGACATTATCCACATGGAATAATCCTAATCATAATGCAGGTGCGTCTATGCTGACGCCGCCACCTCAGAAATAGTCAACAACTAGACATCGAAACATATTTCTCATTTCCAGTGGTTATTAACTAGTAGGACTAATCATATGCCTAAATCAAATGCCACTTGAATAACATAATTCTATTAATTGAAAATGATTGGGTTACATAAAACGGTGAGTTCGAATTTCTATGAATAATTTCGTGTGTATTTACAGTCAGTTTATTTATTGCTACCTATCAAAACGTATTTTGTGATCGTTTTCACCAAAGTTCTTTATCGAAAATCACATATCATACTCTTCCTGAGGAGAGAGAGAGAGAGAGGGAGAGACGGAGAGGGGGAGAGAGTACAGAGAATGGAATTTCTTCTTAAAAATTCCATTCATGAATCCTTTTGTTTCACGCCTTCTCCCCTATATTGATGGTTTCAAATGAGACTGTGGATTGTTGTTTCTATGTTGGTCACGTGTCGACTATATACCGGTTATTTAGATTGACAGATTGAGTGTACAACACTAAGACAAAACGGCCATCCATTGATTCCAACTTTTCAATTATGGGTTAGGATGTGAAGAGTTGAACAGATACGTTGATTGAATGATTTCACAAGTTTGCAGACAAAAACACAAATCGTCCTCTTCATCATCAAAGAAGGTTGTTTCACACAGATTGTAAACATTTATAATCTATGAGCAAACGACTGGATGAATAAGCCTTAATTACGTAACTCAAAGAAAAATAAATTTGAAGCAGACAGAAGATAATGCGTGCATTGTTATTATTACTATCATTATTGAAAAGTATTCAAAGTTGAGAAAATGTCACTTTTTCGCGTCAGAATAAGGGGCAGAAATAAGAATGCTTCCCTAAATTTCTCTTCTGGTATTCCTCAGTCTGTGATGACAGGCAATCGGTGAGGACAGATAGTCAGTCATCTGTGATTTAAATCAGTCGGAAAGAAATTTAACTAAATTTACATTTTCACTAATGGATTGTGGAGATTGTTGAGTTTCATTGAAACGATCGATCGATCGATTAGTGTTATACCACTATTAGAAATCAGCAAGCACTGGATCAGTGTTTCGTCCAAAGTTGCGACTGATCAGAAGTGCACACCTTGAAATGTATAATACATTCAGGTGATTAGTCCAAAACATAACGAAACTTCACATAAGTGTTTTTATCATTGTGATGTCCGAGTTTTAAATTCATCCACATTTTTTATATCTTGTTGTCTTTTCTGATTTTATTTCAGGTATTATAACACAACTGAATCACGGTTCACATTAACATCCTCAGTCAACATTGAGAATAAATACCGACCATTTGTAGTACAAGTACTCGTTCCCAAAACACTGTAACAAGATCATTGACGGATAATTCCAGAGGGACTGGAACAATAAAGGAAGCCAATCCAATTTGACTGATCAATGAGATTGTTTGTGATTGGTTGTTACTGTCAAATAATCCAATGATTATTTGAGGATTTATATTCAAAAATCAATGTTACTGATGTACACTTACACACACATTTTCAGTGTTTGTGTAAAGAGTTTACGACTGCTGAGCATTAAAGAACGAATTCAGATTTTATTGATTTATACTGTTTTCTATCAGTTTATTTTTTGTTAATCTGAAATAAAGTTTCATAATTTTTTTCGAAAAATTCTAGAACTCAAATCATTTCGTTATTGAAAAATAATAAATTTTTTGTCAAAATTACTACAACGTTTCTTTTATTGATAAAAAACATTCTTTAATTATTTTCAATGTTCATTTGTTTAATTCGTTTTACTCTTTTGAATTTTTGTTCTTTTTAATAAATAAAATTCAAAAAACTTATTTTTCCATGAAGAAACAACTTGATTCAACAATCACCGGTGTATACCATGAGTGACTGCAGTATGATCTATTGAATTACTGATTGATAGTAGTGAGGCAGTGTCGTCTAATACTGAACACTTTTAAAAAGAGTTCAAATCGATACATATTCTCCTTTACACGAATCATGGACAAGCTACTACTACTACAGTAGCAGTGAGAAGACTGAGGCAGGCGCAATAGATTGTATTCAGCAAATTTACACTCTTAGTCAATTAAAAACGAAAACATTACATTGAACACTCTATTTGCACACCATCTTTGAGTCCTGACTTCCAACGATCTATCCTTCTTCTTCCATTCCTGTTGTTGCTTCCTTTACTTCTTCCTGTTGGTACTCCATTTAGTTCTTGCTTTTGCTCTATTTGCTTTCCGTTTTCCTCTTCTGACCGTGCGAATTCTTCTTCTTTCACGTCCATTCTTATACTACTTATATCGTTCCTATAAGTAGCACACACCACAGTAGTAGTAGTAGCAGTAGTATTAACAGTGTGCGTAGTTGTAGTGTGGGTATTAATAGCAGTAGTGCGTGTAGTAGTACTAGTAGTAGTGGTAGTAGTGTAATGTCGGGCAACCGGATTGTATTTATCGAAAATTACAGAGTTACTCAGTAAAATCGGAAAACCATATAGTAAATCGTTAATTTGCAAAATATCAGTTCATCATATCAAACTGGACTTTTCCTGTTGCAAAACATCAATCCATTGTCACTATTCATGCGTTTCATACAACTCCATTGTTCTAACTCTTCCTTCCTTGATCTTCCCCCATCTTCTGATGCTGCCAGACATTACGTTGAAGCTCACGTCATATACTACTTATAAGTAGCTCGCACCACTCTACTACTTGCACAACTAATACGACGACTACTACCACTATTATTCACTTTACTACTACTACACACACTACTGCTATTAACACTCACAGTACTACTACTTATAGTATGTACAAATTTATTTCATTTTTGATGGAGTATTATAATCTACAATTATAAACTAAGGTGGTTAGTTATCGATTCAATGAATCTGTGAAGGCATTTCTAAAGTACACAGATTGGATGAATGTTGCTGCAACCAAGAGCCTGACTTATTCATCGAAAATGAAATCAAATAGTTCTTGTTTATTGGAAATCATGGAATCGATCAATGTCAGACCACTATTCGAAACCAAGAAGCACTGGATGGCCATTTCGTCGTGGTGTGAGACTCATCACAAACACTCAACCATGATCTCCGCTTACGGAACTCGAATTCGAACCAAGGAACCGTGATTTCGCAGGCGAACACTGAACGTATAGACCAATGAAAGTCACTTTCCAACAGTACTAATGTTTAACAAACGTTCAATCTACAGTCTTTCACAAGTTTATCCACTAATATTCAATGCAAAACATCAGAATTTATAGAAATTTGCCAAAAATTCTTTGAAAACCCAAACTTGACTAATATACTATGTGAAATTATCAATAGTCTAGTGAATTATTCAAGCAAATATTTACAAACTGTTCAATATAATTTTGTATCATCTATGTGCCTAGATTATAACATTCCTAATAAGATTATCTGTCTCCCTCTCTCTCTCTCTCTCTCTCTCCAAATTTATATATAAGAAAGATTTCGTTTCCAGTTGAATAGTAATAATAATAATAATAATAATAATTATTATTATTATTATTATTATTATTAATATTGTAATAATACAATTTTTTGTTTCTTTTATCATGATATTCTCACTTTCAACATGATTTCTTCTCATTTTTGTATTAGAAATGTAAATTTTGTAACAGTCATGCGAAACTAACGAACATATGCTACATGTATATATATATACATATTTCGTGAACAGTTTTTTCGTACAAAAGTATCATTTAATAGATAGAAAAAAAAGCCAGAGCACAAACAGTTAAACGAAGATACACATTAATGAGTGCTTTCCTCTTTTTTTTTAAATTTTGGTTCACGCGGGCAGTGGGCAGCAGATATTCAATGTTCACTGGTCAATGCAATGCTGGCGAAAATATTTGTCAAAGGGATTATATTAATAATATTAATAATTACTATGACATATGATAGATTCATTAATTTATTTATAAGAAAAGAAAACGAAAAATGAATCAAGAAACAATCCACCCTAAATAATATTTCAATGAATCAGTAAAAAACGATCCAATTCTTTTACTTCCAACCACCCTTGTGTTGTTTTACATGTTTTACTCTCTCTCTCTCTCTCTGTCTCTCGGTCTCTCACGCTCTCTTGCTCTCTGTATACAAATTCCATCTGTTCAAGTTTTTTTCTAACTGATTGATGGGAAGAATTGTAAAAATTGCATTGAATTTTTCAATGTGTATATCCACGTGGTTCGATTTGTTTTATTGTATGATTTGCTCACTTTTTTCTTTCTAAGTGGTGAACATGACTCACAAACACACACCAATACAGAAAGATAGACAGACATACAGATCGATCGATCGATAGATAGATAGATGTAAATAAGCAAATTAATCAGTACCTTCGATCATAATAATAATAATAATAATTAATAATTATTATTATTATTATAGAGATATTGATTACCTTTCTTTCTCCCTCACTTCGTTGTCACAATCTCGTCATGTACACCTAATCGTGTTGATTGATGTTACAAAATGTAAACGTAACTGTTTCTCTCTCTCTCTCTCTTCCTTGTCAAAAAGATGCAGTTCAATGAGGAGTTGTGTATCAGTGAATGGGGATCATGTCGACTATCGTTTATCATTGCCGTTATGATTTTTCCTCATGATTAGTGATAATCCATAGTTGTTGTTGGTGGTGTGATCATTTACATGAAACACGACCGTACATCTAATAAACTGAATCAGTCAAATGAATATTGGCAACTATCAATTGTATGACATCATTGATCAACTCGTTCTATTGTATTGTGGATCAATCAGTTAGTTTGATTAATTGTTTCACTGATCAATTTATTTGTAGTCACAAGCCTAATAACTGATGACTCCAATTACTGTAGTGCTTGGATTGATTCGGGTGGGCTGGAGTGAGTTGTTGTTGGGTGGGTGGATGTGTTTATGAGTGTGGGGATAGGGATGGTTGAGTTGAATTAACATAACTTTCCAGTAGGCATACATGAATAGTTGATTAGCATGAGATTTGATCGA